GGAAAGCCGGCCGCCCGCTATTTAATGGGAGCCGAATATTATTTCAAGGAGGGAGGGGGGGGGGGGTGGGGGGGGGGGATTAGTCTAGTAGCCAGAATGCGGGTTCCTGAACAACAATCAAACTTTATTTTAACTTTCTCTCCTTCCAGCTCCGCTTTCCGAAGGCACATACGCTTCTACTTTACAGGGGATCGAAATGCTTTATTAACTGCTGAGATTACAAACCTCATTTGGAATCGGGTTTTTTTAGCCAGAGTATACTTTAGGTCCTTGGAAAATTGCCCACATGTGTAACTTGTTTTTGCTTCTCTTCAGACAAGGAATTCCCCCCCCCCCTCCTCCCTCTTTCCCTCCCTCCTCACCACTTACGGATTTTTAACAGACGGCAGCATTCAAACTGAGAGCTAGCACAGGAAATGGCAAAGGTAGATCCTTCGGCTTTTAGGCTACAGAAACTTATTTAACTTTTTTTTTTTTTTTAAGGTTTTACTCTTCAGGAGGGATTTTTTGTTGCGCTTTCGTGCGTTTGGAGGGGTCCGTGACTGAAGTTTCTTTCATAACCTGCCTCTCAGACCTGCCTAAATGTATCATTCATAAATTATGTTTGCTTTATGCTGAGTTTTTATTCCTGTTTCCTGTCTCTCTCTCAAAAAAAAAAAAAAAACCAAAAACAACAACAACAAAAGTTATTCGCTTGTTGTTGTTGTGATTATCACTATTATTGCTGTTATTATTATAATTTCGGAATGTTTCGTATCGCCCTAAAATAAACTCCCAGCCCTTTGAAGGTTGGGTTATCTCAGAATCTGGTCTCCAGACTCGCCATAGCCATGAAGTTCACTCTCAGCTTTTATCCTCTCTTAGTTTATCCTTATCGGCTTCCAAACCCAAACTGAAGAAGCGAACCCACCCCAAGTGATGCACGTTCCCCCCCCCGACACCGCGTCGGCCTCCTGGGGTAAAGATCCTGGTGAACCCCCCCCCCAAATTCCAGCCCTGTCCCTGCATCGGGACGGGGACAGAGCCCCGCACCCCCAGGTCTCCCCCACCTTCCCCAAAGCCCTGACAAAGAGGCAAAATCATCTGGAAGAAGGTGCCAGTTCTAATAAATGGTAACAACCGTCTTTAAAAAGTGGTTAAATATGTTTCCGGTAAGAAATGGCTCCTCCGCTCCTTTTTCTTTCTTACGCCAAAACTTATAAATCAGTAAAAGGTGGCAATTGCACGGTCTTAAAAGCTACATATTTCGAAAATACTTTATATTTGGTTGTTCTCAGCTTAGAAATGCCAACCCAAAGAGTTGTTTTGTTAAGGATGGGGTTTGGCAGTTGCGTGTTTCAGAGCGCTATTTGGAAATGATTCCTCCTCTCCACAAACAATAAAGAGTATTTATAAACAGTATCTGAGTTCAGAAGCCTCTGGCTTTCCATTGCAAGCTGACAATACTCCGAATTTTTCCTCACAGCCAAAAACACTTGGCGCTGATTCTGAAAGCAGGAAAAAGTTTCCACTTCGGACTTTTTTTTTTTTTTTTAATAACTATTTCCAGTTCCACTTCCCTTTACCAACTCACAACAACAATCACATATCTAAAATTAATCTAGTTTGCGAACCGAGCAAAGCTCACACATCCTGCCTCCTCTCTCCCAAAGATTCCTCCTTCTAGACTTTTAGACTCTGCTCCGAGGTCACTTTCTCCTTGACGTTTGAGATATTTTTTTTCTGCAAACAGAAGAGCTTTTCATGTAATTTCTGCTGGGCTCTATTTGGGGCTCTAAAACATAACCCTCCGTGTGGTGTCCCCCGAAGCGGGCAGCCCCGCACGCCCCGCTCTCTCCAAGCGGGTGACCCGGGATGAAGCTGTACTTTGCCTTAAGCCCCTCTCAGAAAAGGCTACCGAGAGATGAGCTGTGGGGATATATATATAAAATAAACTACTGAACAAACGGAAACCTCCAGAGGAGCAAAAGCAAATGGATTTTGCAGATCTTCTTGTGAGGTTTCCATTCACTAGGGATCTGAAAACCCTTGGTTTCTGCCTCACAGCCACGCTCCTAAGAGTCTTCTTGGATTAAATTTATATACTACAGAAAATTATATACTCACATGCTGACATAGTTCATCATTATTTATAGGAGGCGCACCAGGATTTTTTTTTCCAAGAATATATTTATTACAGGTAAGACACGGCCAATCTATCTAGCAAACAGAGAACAGGTGTTTTGCTTCAATTAACGTTCAATAATTTCATCTATACTTATTCACCATCCTGCTACCAACACGGCTGTTTATCCATCAGTTGTATAAACACATTTCCATGCGCCAAGCGAGTTTAATCTCCACAACACACTTAAATCAGCCCTTTCCTTTCCCAAGCTCTCATAACATTTGCAGAGTCCCTCCGAATCTCTGGTGAAATAGTCTGATTTTTAAAAAATCATTTCTGAAAAGGCAATAAAGCCGAGAAATATGACAATGTGAGCAACCAGCTCGTATTTCACGTCTGATGACACGGGGTCTCTTGATTTCAAGGAAGTTAAAAGAAGGGGGGGGGAGAAGGGAGATAGAAATGTGAAAAGTTGGAAAAAGTAGGAATTCTGACACACACACACACCCCCCCTCGTTTCACACAACCCCCTGTTCGCGGGAGATGCGCTGGGGAGAGCGATCCTGCCCCACGGGCAGGGGGTTTCTCTGCCTTCACCGGTTTAAAGGGGTGAAGTGGAGTTAACTTTGGACTAAACCAAAGAGGAGAGTTTGCAGGTCGGAGGCGAGTACTCACCTGGTGCCAGTTGCCCACGGCTGCCTGGGCAAGGTCTGAGCCCAGAGGCTGGAGAGGGCTCCCCAAACTCCTCACACCTCACCTTGGCTGGAGCCCGCGGACTGACCCCGCTTCTCCAGCCCAGGGAGGATTTTGAGCCGGTTGGGGGGCTCCTGCTGCCCTGATGGATGGAAAAATGAAAAATAAATCTGACCTCCGGCATTAAGCTCCGGCTCTCCTTGCCCATCATCCCGACCCTCTCCATTTTTTTTTTTATTTTTTTTTTTTTAAATGAAAATGGACAGCTTCCTAATAGCGCCTCATTTAGAGAAGCTCTGGTCCTGGACGTGGGGAAACGGATCCCTCCATCAGGGCTCCAGGGCAGATGCTCATGGAAAAGCACCGCTTATAGGAATAAGGGGAAAATCTCGGGCTTTGGGTGGAGGTTTTTAAGCGCCTTCATAATCTTCCAGCATCAGTAAAACACCTCTGATAGCAATTTCCCACATCCGTTTTGTGTAGGCACGGACACACACACACACGCACACTCTCATACGGACAGCGAGAAATGCGAAATATATTTTTTCCTTCATTTCAGGCGGCTATTAGCACCCCTCAATGTTATTATTAGCCTGTTAATATAGACTTCCATCCCTATACACTTCAGGAAGGGTTGGAGATGATTTATCATTCCAAGAAATCTCTTTGCCCTTCACTTCAAATATCCTTCAGTGTTGGGGTGAGAGGGAGAAGGGCGGCGGGTAATAGATTAAAGGAGGCAAATTGATCCAGACTGTTACAGCTGAAGTCCGGAGAAGCACTTTTTGCCGTCACCACAGAGCGCACCTTTCCCTTCACCAACATTTACGACGCCGTCGGAGCGTCTTGCAATAAATGGATTTATCGTCATAACCGGGTAAAACTGACCCCCCGTTACCCCCATCATTTGGGCTGGGACCCGCACCGGGCTCCGGCCCCGTCTCAATCAGCGGCTTCTGCCCAAGGAAAATAAATTAAAAAAAAAAACCGAAATCGTCGGGTTTTCCGAAAACACGAGGAATATGCAACCGGGGGGAGGCTGGGGGGAGGGGGTGTGTATGTCTGACACGCACACACACCGCGGGCACATACATGTGGGGTGTGAGGGGGGGACACGGTGACTGAAAACGCGAGGGATTCCTTTTCTTTTTTTTTTTTTACCCCCTTTCTTTTCCACAGGCAATAAATTCAAGGCTATAAAAATCAAAGAAAGCTAATGTAAGTTTTATTAAACTATTTAACCATCACAAGTTTAAGGCATTCTGTAACAAAGCCGGATCAGTGGCGCACTGTATTTTACTGGCCTTGTAAAGTTCAATGAAGGCTTCTGATTTCAGCAATGGGGGGAACTATTTGAGCCCGAGCAAAGCAACCCCGAGATTACACCGCGAAACACGCCAACATACGTTCATATGCAGAGATATTTTAAAGATATATAGAGAGATATCTATAAATGTGAAGCGTAAGGCAGGGCTTCGGGTGGATCCTGGGGTGGCGGCTCGGTCAAAGTGGCAATGCCACGTCCACGCCGGTGACAGTTTAAATTTCATATATAACCGCATCACTTTTACCACGTTAACGGTCCGTTTTCCCATCCCAGCTGCTTAATTATTCTCAACACCCTCCCCAGCCCTCTTGTTACCTAGATTCGTCTTTTTCTTTACAAAAAAGGCAGCTATGGGTGCATTTCCGTGTGTATGCCTGTAATGCAGGCGCGCACATGTATGTATATGAAATCACGGCGCGGGACAAGCACCTTTGGAGACCAGGGGGAAAAAAAAAAAAAAAAAAAAAAAAAAAATCCGCCCCCCCTCCCCTTTCCGGACCCCCCCCTTCCCCTAATATTTCAGGAGCAAATCTAGGAAGGGATATTAGCCCCAGCTCTGTCCGTTTGGTGGCTTTTCGAAACTCCTGACGTTTTGCAACATTGCATAAACATAAAACAATCCATCCTTGATATGGAATGCAAGGGCGGATGACAGCGCAGCGCAGCCCCCTCGGCTTCGATTGATTTACGCCGAGACTGACGCTTTATCAGGCACACGAAAAAAGTTTGACCAATCATTTTGCTGGGAGCTCACAACACAGCAGCCCAACTGTACTTTGTTGGCTGGGAAGTTGGAGAAGGGGGTAGAGTACAAATCTAGATCTGTCCTATATATTTTTTTCCCTTCATTGAACCGTGCTTTGTATGATGTCTGAGAATGTCCATTTCTGGGACTCTTAGCAATTATTATGTCGACTCTATTATAAGTCATGAAAGTGAAGACTCGCCTTCAGCTAAATTTTCATCTGGGCAATATACGAGTTCCAGGCAAGCTGGGCACAATGAGCATCTAGAATTCCCCTCCTGTAGTTTTCAGCCAAAACCTCCAGTTTTCAGCGCCTCCTGGACTCCTTTGAATCCACATTCTTCTGGTACCCTTCCTGCCGTCTACCATCCATATATTCAACATCAAAGCGTCCCATCTGAGAGCAGGTATCTCCGGAGCTGGCTGGATCCAGTGCCCAGAGCAGAGACCCTCCCCGGGCAGGGGGCTGTTAAGGCAGAGCCGCTGCTGGGCCGTCCCGGGGATGTCCATAAACAGGGAACACAGGAGTACAATTTAGAAACTTCTGCTGCAAGGGAAGGGATCGTTTCCAATCAAAGGCCCAGCTTCGAGGACAATAAAGTTTGTGAAGGAAGCGAAGACAAAGACAGGACAGATCAAAGTAAGTTATAAAAGTGAGGAAGTAAACAGTATAAAAGCTGGAGGAGGTGCAATAAAAGGGGACAATGCTGCGTAAAAGTTTAAAATCAGGGCTTAAAGAAAAGTCTCGGCTTGCTGATGCCAACGTACGGCGGGGAGGGGAGGGGGGTGGCATTGTCTCTGCCGGTAAATAAAAATAAAAATAAAAATGAGCGTCGTCTCCGAGCTTAAGCAGAGTCCAGGGCGGACAAAAGCTGGAGCGAGTCATCCTCTGTGCTGCAGAGCGCTGGCTCCGGCAGCCGAGACCATTTAGTAAGCGGGAGTAAATCTGCGCGGGTGCGGGCGGTGGGGAAGGGAAGGGACGGGACGGGGGGAGCCCTGGATGTCGGGGAGAAAGGTGGGGAAAGCGGAGCGGCGGCGTAAGAGGGGGGAGAGGAAGGCGAAGAAAGGGGGGAAAGGGGAGAAATTGCGGAGGAAAAGTTGACGGGGGGGGAAGTGAAGAGCAGCGGGGGCTTTTCCGTGCCCGCCGCCCCGGTGCCCCGGGCAGACGCGGGGCCGGGCTCGCTCCCCGCCCCGGCCGCCCTCGGGCTCCCGGTGGCGGTGTCTTTTGTTTTATTCCTCGGGTTGGTTGGTTTTGTTTGTGGGTTTGTTTGATTTTTTTAATTGTTTGCTTATTAAACGCAACGTTTCAGGGTCTGAATATTTCCAAGGCAGGCTCCTCCATAGCTAGGAAAAAAAAAAAAAAAAAGAGGGAGGGGGTGCTTCCAGCTTAATTAGCTTTTATTTGTAATCTAGCCAGATTGGGGAAACAGTTAAACTTCAGCATGTGGGGTTTTTTTTTTTCGCGAGGTAGATTGTCTTTTTTCCCCTGAAACATCGAAAAAAAAAAAGTCATTCGCCTTGAAAATATTGAATAATACCTTCAATAATGTTATTAATAAGAATGTTATTAATAATAATGATAATTATTATATTAATGATAATGATTATAATGCAATGGCGTGTGAGTAAGAAAGAACCGTATTTTCTCCCGGTGCCGACCCGGCTGGTTCCCGGTTTCCATCCGAGGTAAAAACCGGAGCCCGAGCCCGAGCGAAGGGGGGACTTGGCTTCACCCCCACGGCAAATATTTTGCAGTGAAAGCCCAAGTTTTCCAAACTGGCAGAGGAGCAGCCCCCGCCGAGGGTCTGCCTCCTCGCAGCCCGTGCTCTGCCACAGTCATTCTTTTTCCCCTTGAATTAACTTCTATTCCCCCCCCCTCCCACCGTGGAGCAGCACCAGGGATTGCCATTGCAGCCATAGGATTCAAAATACGGTATATTCTCGCCCCTCATGATTTCCTCTCCTCCTTGAGCAGGATGTTATGGTGAGACACTTTTTTTTTTTTTTTTCCTGCAGGATGTTATGGTGAGACCCTTTTTTTTTTTTTTTTCCTCCTTTTTCCCTATCATTTAACTTGCACACAGGCACACAGGCGCACACACACACACTCACACACACACACAAAAAGAAAGTCCTATTCTATTGTACTGGGCAGGGATCCAGAACAAACTGCAACCGTGAGGTGAATGATTTGAGAGAATTAAATACCCAGGTTCTGTGCTCAATGTCCCTGAAATTGAATATATAAAAATCTTGTCCAAGAAAATGTTATTAAGTTATAAGTAAGTGCAGGGACCCGCGCTAAGAGGATGCTGTGTGGTTTCTATGGCATGTGGTTACGACGCATATTTTGTTTTAAATAATAGTTTAATTTGGGCTGATGTTGAGAGCTTGCCAGGGCTGGAAGACGGAGCTGTTTTGCAGAAAGTGCTCCCACCAATTTCCCTGACTCTTTCCATTTTTGAAAGTATTTCGCAATAATGAATCTCCGCCCTGTGCATGGCACAGGGATCTGTTAATTTATTTGCTGGATTTTTAAAGAAAAGATGTGCCAGAAGCTCTTCCCATTCGCTTTCCTGTTTAGGGGTTTGTGTCTAGTGAACAGATAAAGCAACGTTCGCGTTTGAATTATCTTATATTTTAACGATCCAAGATATGACCAAAAAATAAACCCAAACCGAATAAAAATCCGTTATGAAGCAGAGCCCTCCGTTGCCATTAAAGGATGGGTAGCAGGATTAACAGTATCAATTATTAACAGCTTTCTTCCTCTTTAATATTTAATTCTGCATATTAGATCAAGTCAATTACATTAAGGAAATAGCCGTGCAAATTTGTAAGAGGCAGTACTTACAGTGGAAGATTAACCGGATTATTTTTAAAAAATATTCAATATATTTCATTTTGCGTAGAGGAAACGTTCTGATGGCGCGCGCGCGTGTGTGTATGTATATATTTATAATGGTCCATTTAATTGGTGTAAAGGTTTATGGCTTCAGTCATAATTTCAGAGGAGGCAAAGGAAATAAAATAGAAATACGTGGTCTGTCCATAACCCTTCATTTTACTCTTTCCCGCCTCCCCGTTACCCAACGGTCAGCTAATATTTGCATGTGATTAGTGCCCTATTATTTACCCTAAACCCACTTCACCTTTGGGTGCGACCTTCACCACTACCGTGTCTGTGGGGGTGGGTTTTGCTCCCAAAAAATGTTGTTTTCTTCCCCCTCCTCCCCACCTCGAAGAGCCTAATTCCTGAAATGTCCTTTTTGCCAAAAAAAAAAAAAATTCCCACGTAACTTCTCCCACCCGCGAGGGTGACGGGCAGGCTGCGATTTGTTTTTTTGGCTGCATTTGCAGCCCTGCAAATGTCCACGTCTCTGGTGACACTCTCCAGATCCCCGGCAGCAGAGCCCGGCCAGCCCCGCAGAGGATGTTTATTGTAGCGCGACCGTTTCTTGCCACATAGCAAAAAAAAGAAAAAAAAAAAAAGAAAAAGAATAAAAATAATAATAATGTTTTAAAGGCAGGATTTATTAAAGTTTTCTCCAGACCCCCCTCTCCCTGCTTTTTTCCTTGGTTACAGGGGTGAATGTGTAGACACGTGGGAAAACACGTTCTGAAAAATATATAATATATACACTTTTCTTTTTTTTTTTTTTGCGTTGGTTTCTTTGTACGCGCGGCGCGTAAGGCGCAGATGGGCGTTATGCAAATCCCCGGGTGCGCGGGGGTGTTCACCTGGCACAGATGGACCTGGGGGAGAGTGGGGGGAGCTCTGCCAGGGGCACGCGTGCCCCCGAACACGCGTGTGCGCGGGGAAACGCGTGTGCGCGGACACGCATGTGCGTGGGAACACGTGTGTGGGGATCTTAATATTTGCTGGCGATGATTAAAACCTTCTGAGAAACACTCAAACTGCACCCATTGATCCGCTGCTTCTCTTCCAGCCAACCCCGCCGCCAGCTGGCTCCACGCCCGCTCCTCCCGCAAAAAGCGCTGCCCTTACATCAAGTACCAGACCCTGGAGCTGGAGAAGGAGTTTTTGTTCAATATGTACCTGACCAGGGACCGCAGACACGAAGTGGCCAGACTCCTCAACCTGAGCGAGAGACAAGTCAAAATCTGGTTTCAGAACCGAAGGATGAAAATGAAGAAAATGAACAAGGAACAGGGCAAAGAATGAAAACAAAACACACAACAAAACAAACCAGAAAAGCAGCATCCTTCCCCCCAAAACCTTCTGAGAAACACTCAAACTGCACCCATTGATCCGCTGCTTCTCTTCCAGCCAACCCCGCCGCCAGCTGGCTCCACGCCCGCTCCTCCCGCAAAAAGCGCTGCCCTTACACCAAGTACCAGACCCTGGAGCTGGAGAAGGAGTTTTTGTTCAATATGTACCTGACCAGGGACCGCAGACACGAAGTGGCCAGACTCCTCAACCTGAGCGAGAGACAAGTCAAAATCTGGTTTCAGAACCGAAGGATGAAAATGAAGAAAATGAACAAGGAACAGGGCAAAGAATGAAAACAAAACACACAACAAAACAAACCAGAAAAGCAGCATCCTTCCCCCCCTCCCCTTTCTCCCCCAGCCTCCGCGGCCGCGCACCCCCACCGTGGTGCTGCCAAACCCCCCCGACACGAGGGGAAAACCTCCCCGTGTCCCATCTCCACCTTTGCATGCGAGATGTTGCTTATTATTCTCCTTTTATTTTATTTTATTTTTAAAAACCTTCTTAGCATTGCCACATCGGAGGCAACTTAGGCAAAACTGCAGCTCCTTTTTGGGGACACATGCTGGGTTTTGTTTCTGTTCTCTTGTTTTCTTTCTCTATTTCCCCCCCCTTTCCTCTTTTCCTCTCCCCACAGTGTACCGTAGACACAGGCTCCTGTCTGAGCAGCACTTTTCTCTGCTCGCATTTTCTCCATGGAAAGCAAGACGGCAAACACAACATAATAATAATGTTTTAAAGGCAGGATTTATTAAAGTTTTCTCCAGACCCCCCTCTCCCTGTTCTTTTCCTGCGCGACGTGGTTACAGGGGTGAATGTGTAGACACGTGGGAAAACACGTTCTGAAAAATATATAATATATACACTTTTCTTTTTTTTTTTTTTGCGTTGGTTTCTTTGTACGCGCGGCGCGTAAGGCGCAGATGGGCGTTATGCAAATCCCCGGGTGCGCGGGGGTGTTCACCTGGCACAGAGGGACCTGGGGGAGAGTGGGGGGAGCTCTGCCAGGGGCACGCGTGCCCCCGAACACGCGTGTGCGCGGGGAAACGCGTGTGCGCGGACACGCATGTGCGTGGGAACACGTGTGTGGG